CAAATAAAGGTTTTCTTATCTAATCTTCCTGACAGATCGATTGTCACATTATATAAGTTCTGAACAAATGTAAAGTTATAGCACAAACTGAGTTTGTAAGAGCGTTTATGGTTCAGTTTAGTGAGATTTATATCTTCTCATATCTTCCTCCCAGGTGGTGGCCAAGAAGTACCGAGGCTTTGACATCCCCAAAGAGATGACTGCCATCTGGAAGTACCTCAACAACGCCTACACGCGCGAAGAGTTCACCAACACCTGCCCCAGTGACAAAGAGATTGAGATCGCCTACGGAGATGTAGCCAAGAGGCTGGTCAAATAAGCTCCTCCGTCCCCTCCATCCCTCACCCCGTAACCTCCCCCTCTACACACCCTTACACCTCCCCCTCCCCAGCACCGGGACTGATGTGCTCACTCGCGAGAAAGAAAAAACTCTGGACTTCTTTTCCTTCTCTCCTCATCTAGAGCGAACCCCAATGCATGAACCCTTCTCGATCATATTTTCCTCACGTTCTCCGATTTTTACGAAGGCCTCCTTTTAGTTGATTCAGCAAAGGTCTTTCATCATTAATTGCTTTTGTTTTTCATTTGCTGATGAATGTTGTGATGGCGAGGCGACGGAGAAGCAGCCAGACGTGTATCAGTGCTTATCAGTGTCGGGAGCCTCAACAAACACACTCCTCGATAAGTGACCTTCAAGCTGACCTTCTCTCTATGTGTAGGGAGAAGGTCACAAGCTTTTGTTAATTTTCTGTTGTCTGTCTAATACTGAAATAGCTCTTTCTAGGATTGCTATAAAAGGAACACTGAGAAGCAGTTTTTTCCCTTGTCTTTTGGCTTATTAAGAGGCATTGTAAACAGTGTTGAAGCTTCAGCGGCTTTAAGTATTTGACAGGTTTAAGTAGAAGCCGAAGCTAATCCAAACCTGAGTGGTTGACATATCAAGTGAAAGATGCTTTCTTTTAATGTTGAGCTGTTTAAAATAAATCAAAATAATTCTAAGTGCAGGTAAAGCTACCTGGTAGCCATGCTCTGATTTCCTCATTGCCTCAAATGGGCAAAAGTCTTGTAGCTCAACTCAGTAGAATTGTAGGGAATTTCATGTAACGGCTGCAGTAACAACTCAGGAAAAATCTAGCCTGAGGTCTGAGAAATATTCTACCATATGTAGCTTACAGATTTTCAAAGATGTGTAGAGTGGCTTTTTGTTAATCACCACATTGCCATTTATAAAACTGTTCATTTAGACTCACTGAGCAGCACATTAAACACATAAACATCTTTCTTATGAAGCATGAAGGAAAGTCCTCACTTTGGTCGTGCTGACAGTAGCGGTAGTTTGGATTACTCATGGCGGACCAAAAAGAGGCACATTATTCTGGTCTAACTGTGGATAGGATGACTCCGGCTATGTAAACAAGTGAAGTCAAAAAAAGAAAAGAAAAAGGAAACCACACACTCACTGTTTCCTTCTCCATCATGTACTGGAATGACTACACCAACGTGCAGTCAGGCACCAAGAAAGGTGACACTAAAGATATTTATGACAAAACAAACCAAGAGGAGTAGCAATGAAACGAATACCTGGTCGAATTTCACTTTCTCTTCTGTATGTAGATTGATCTCTAAGGTAGTGAATGTATGTTATGATACAGTAGCTCCAAAAGTGCTTTAGTGCGGATAAAGCAAAAACTGTTTTGTTTTCTCCCATTTGCCATGTTTCTCAGACATTTGTCATGAAACAAATTTGATTAAAAAAAAAAAAAGGAATTGTAAATATTTGTTTTGATTGCTCGGAATTCAATGTGTACATTTTATACATGTCATCTGAATTTTGAGGAAAATGGGCCATTTCTTGCCTGCTTGGATTCTAATTCTAGACAAACCATATCCTCTTTGCCTTAGTTGTTTTCCCTCTGCGGATGTTTTGCACGAAGGTTTTTCAGAGAGCATTTCATTACAACATGAGTGTGATGTTGTACAAAGAAAATATCCAAGCTATGTCATGGCTTTTTTTTTAACAATATTGACTGAATTGAAATAAACTTCTTATTGGCACTCTGACTTGTGTTTTTGTATAAACCTTCAGTGTTAATACACATCTGTCTTGTCATTTACTGTAAAAAATTGCCTTTGCCTTAAACGTTTTTAGATTGCTGTTCATGTCCTATAACAATCAGAGCAAGTTCCCCTTCAAATTTAAAAAGGATATTGGATGACGGTCCATGTTATCTATATGTAGTCCTTAACGTCTTTACTCTTAAAGGTGGGTTGAAGGTTGAAGGTTATTTATCTGACAAAAAAAATCTAAATATTAGGCTCTAATTACTTGTTTTTTCCAAAGCTTTCAACCATATCCTGTTACCTTCCATAGTTGTCATGGAGATGATAAATGACCAATTACATCACCTAAGGAAGACCATGAGAATAAGTTGGACACTGAGCTAAAATGTTTTGTCCAAATGCTTTACAGTTAGTTTCAGAGCTCTCATCTTTGGATTTGCAATTCAATTGCAA